TTTTTAGTATAAAAATTTAAATTTTTATTACAAAATTAAAAGCAGTAAGAAAGCTATTTAGATTTATAGTAATTTGTTTAATTTTTTAAGCTATTTGGATCGATAAAACTCTAATAATTCATAAAAATGTTAGGAAAAGTATTAAGGCTTAATAAAATATTTATTAAATTATGAAGGGGGTTTTTATAACATTAGTTGATTTTTTAATCTTTGAAGTTTTTCAAATTTAACAAGCTATTAGTGTTGGGAATAATCCTAATAAGTTTTAAGAGTGAGCAATTTTGATAGTCTGATAAGAAATTAAAATGGAAAAATAGAAAAATCGTAAGAACATTTTTTCTTAGGATTACAGATTCAAGCAACTTATTTTTATATTTTACTGTCAATAATTCTATTTTTTTAAAAAAATTTAGAACTTTTTAAGAATAATATTTTTTTAATAATAAAAAAAGATATAATTGAAAAAATATTCTCCTATTTAAACTTTGTTAAAAGGAGTATGCTAATATGATTTGGTATATGTGAGATCATAAAACCGAGAAATTTTTTTTTTTTCATTATTTTCTCAGATTTTCTTGGAGACATTTATACAAATTTTATTTTTTTTGAAAAAATTTTAAATTTGTTTAACCTTTATCCTCTAATGAAGCATGCCACCATCGTAGCATCCTCTCCAGTGTGTTCAGTGCATTTCTTCTCTCAGCCCCTATCGCCGCTGCCACTTTAGGACTACACCGCCGGTGAAGTCCGAAAAGGAGACCGTCTGCCACGGCCGGGTCACCAATGTCGTCCGCAGGAGAATCAGACACTGGCGTCCTGTCTAAACCGTATGCCCTCCACCAAACCCTAACCGGCCACAAACGGGCAGTCTCCTCTGTGAAGTTCTCCCCCGAAGGCTCTCTTCTCGCCTCCGCCTCCGCCGAAAAAACCATCCGCGTCTACTCTTCCTCCAACTTCTCCCTCCGTGCTCAGCTTTCCTGCCACGAAGGCGGCATCTCCGACCTGTCCTTCTCCTCCGACAGTCACTTTCTCTGCTCCGCTTCCGATGATTGCAGTCTCCGCATTTGGGACCTATCCACCTACTCCTGCGTGAGGACTCTAGAGGCTCATACCAACTACGTATGCTGCTGCGCTTTCAGTCCTCAGTCGAACATGGTCGCCTCGGGTTCCTTCGACGATACCGTCCGCCTCTGGGACGTCAAGTCCGGCAATTGCATCCGCGTCATACCGGCACATTCTGATCCGGTGACTTCCATCGATTTCAACCTGGAAGGATCGTTGATTGTTTCTAGCAGCTATGACGGGCTCTGTCGAATTTGGGACTCCCGCACGGGAAGGTGTGTCAAGACCTTGATTGATGATGAGAGCCCTCCGGTATCGTTGGCTAGATTCTCACCAAACGGGAAATTTGTTCTTGCTGCAACGCTTGATAGTACATTGGTATGGCTGATGTTTCCATTTCTTTTTCTGTTATTTTTATCATTTAGAATCAATTAGCGTAATATTAAAGTCCTTTTGATTTTCAGTAGTTACAACAGATCAAAGCATGAGAAATATTACTTGCAATTGTCTTGGATTGACAGCATTCGTTCACGTTATATCAGCAAAGACATTTAGTCATAATTACCAATTTCATCATTTCAGTGAGGCACACCTAAATATGAGATTGCATTCGCAACTGAAAATTATCTTATCTGAATGCTGGTTACGGTTTTTATTTTTATTTTTTCACTTAATGGTCTTATTTCATGTTTACAAAAGAGTAACTATTATGCAAACTGTAAATCAAAAATATATTTGGAAATTAAAATATTTCTATATTTAATTAGCATAATCAAGTCATTGCATCACGCAGCTCACCTTGGTCTGTTGATTGGGAGCTTTGGCTAAGTCCCACATGCCTTAGACGGTCTCTTGAAACATCATTGTATAAGCAATCACAGGTTTAGGATTTTTTCATGTGAGAATTGCTTAGTTAAATGCCTGTTATTTGATATATTGGATGGTATCCTTAGTAGAAGGAGAGTTCATATGATGAATTTTTTTCATGAGATCTAATAAGATAGCAAAGGTCCAAGACCAAAAGTGATAGTTGGTACCAATATTTAAGGTTGGCCTTAGTTTAGAGAGGTGAGTAGAGGAAGTGATTAATGATCACCACAAAGCAAATGAGTGGGCAAGAATTAGGGGTGTCAATATTTGACATGGCCTAAAAATCCGACCAGAAAATTTTGGTTTTGGGTCAACCAAAACCCGAACTGGGTCGGGAACGGGTTAGGAATTTCGACCCGTTTGTAAAATCAGGTCGGGTTCTTGTTGACCCAAAAACCCAAAATCAACCTGTTTTGACATGTTTTTGATTGATTTAGGAGAGTTTTAGAAGATTGTTATGAAATAAGTAAATGTTATTTCCAAAAAATAATAAACCATGTTGCCCAAACTGAATTAAGCTGGGTTTATCTTAAATTGATTGGAACAAATCTTATATGAATTTGATTTAGGTTTAAATAAATCGAATTAAATAAAAATATTTTAGTAAAACATAAAAGAAGTGGGTCGGGTTCGGGTCCAAAAAACCAACCCGTTTGCAAAAACGGGTCGGGTTAAAATGTGTCAGGTCAGATTTGGGTTCAACCCGAACCCGACCCGAAACCCGCTTTTGACAACCATGAAAAAATGATTAATTAATCATATATTGAGAAGCTACATATGGATGTAATTTCAATAAAGCAATCACCTAATAAGATGGGTGCGCAGGAGGGTATGCAAGCATAAAGCTTTCTTATTTTAGAGAGATGAGTAATGGAAGCCTTTAAAGAATACTATAAAGTAAGTGAGAGAACAAAAATGCATTAATTAATCATATATTTGGAAGCCATCCTCATCTTCCTATATGATTTTAATGGAAAAATCACTGGAGGGTGGGGAAAACCTTTAGACTTTAAGGTTGACCTCCATAATTCAAGTTTACCTTCAACTCCCTCTCTAGTCTTATCAACAAGAAGAATATCATCAGCAAAAAGCATACACCAAGGTACATCATCTTGCAAATGTCTAGTGAGAACATCCAAAAAGTAATCTAGAGTAAAATGGATACAAAAAGTAATCTAGAGTAAAATGGAATGCTATGTGAAAAGAATGTAATGCATTTGAAATGTTTGGAATTGTTTGGGTGAGTGTAAAATAATTGCAAGTGATTATTTTTTTGTTTGACTTGAAGTAAAATGAATGCAACCATGGTGGTAGCCAGTGGAGACAACGTAGGCAGAGTTTGGCATCAGGTGATACTAGCTACGACTGGTTGTGATGGCAGCTGCGGCGAGTGGTGGCAATGGTAGAAATTTTATAGTGTATTTGAAAATCGACTAAATTTAGTGATTTCTAAGTACATCAAAATTGACTATAGGGTGACTTTCAAATAATTTAAAATTTTATTATGCATTTATTTTACTTGAGATCGAATATTAATGTTTTTAATACCCTTATATTTGGAATACTCTGCACCTTTTACTTCAAATCAAATATCCTCTAAGAGAAATAGGGAATGCATTATACAGGAAAGAGAATATTTGCTAGTTACTAACTTCCCAATCTAGTAAATCTCTATGATGACAAGTTTTATAGATATTCCTAAAATTTACTACTTATTGCTGGCGATTCAGATATTGAGCAGCAAGTAGCTGGTAAACCTAGCCTTGGGATCCCAATTTGTGGGACTATCTCATGACGTTATTCCCTTATTCATATCATAGCATTTATTAAAACATTGTTATTACTTTGTGCATTATGTTCTTGTAATAATTGTTCAAAAATAATTATGTAATTAGTTGCCTCTCAAAGAAGGAATTATCTAATATTGTATAAAATTCTGTTATATAAACAAAGGTGTAAGGTTTTTAATGAAATAAATAATAATTCAAATTCTCTCTTTCTCTCTCTCTCTAGTATTAGAGCCTTAGGAAAATAATCCTTTGGAAGCTCTCTCTTATGTTTTTTTTTTTTTCATGAACCCACAACTACCTTCAAAGCTGGCTTCTTCATTCTATGGTAGGATTCCTAACAAACCACATTCTCCTGTATCCAGCCCATCAATCCACTGTGGCCTGCACTGTCGCAAGGTTCCCTTGATCTCCACTTGCTTTGTCGCCCATAGTCTCAGCTTGCACCTTCTCTTGTGATCCACTTCTTGCACCAATGCCTATAGTCTACCACCTGCATTTTTTCCTGCAGTCCACTTCATACATTATAGTTTGTACTTCACTACACTGTAAGCCATAAGAGGAGAGAAATATACAAATTATGGAGAATGTCTTGTGTATTAGAAGCTGTTGGCCAACCAAATGATTTTGAATCAAACTAGAACTCTCAAATCCTTATGGGTGAGTATCAAAACTTTCAACCATCATTCAAATTTAATGAAAGAAATTATCTTTTTTAGTCCAACTTTATAAATATCTATGTCAAGGCAATAGGAAATTCCATCTTATTTGCCACATACCGAGATAAGATTATCAGTTTTGTTACTTTGTATGTAGAGACTTTTTATTCATGTCATGGCTATTGGATTCCAATGACACCTAAAATTAGTGGAACTTTCATGTTCCTAACCGTAGCTATAAAGATATTTGGGACATGGTAAAGCAAGCATACTAAGAGGTTCATGATACTGTCTTAGTCTACGAAATTTAGATTAAAATTCATGCTATAAAACAAGGTACTCTTTTAATTACCAAGTATTATAACAAATAGAAGTTTTATGGCTCAAACTTAGCCATTAACAATGTATTAAAATAAGACGTAGTGAACATATTCTATTGAGAAAAGGATCAAAATGCTTCATTGATTCTTTATGAAAGATCGAAATGATCCCAAACTAGATTAAAGTATTATTTTGGTCCATAAAGTCTTTTTAAAAATGAAACAAAATAGTCCTATTATGGTGAGACTATTTTGGTTCCTCTTTAAGGAGTTCAGGGACCAAAATGATTCCTTTATCATAGTTGGGGACTATTTTAGTCTTTCAAGGGGTCATTTTGGTTATTTTTTTATAAATTATTAATTAACACTTAAAGGACATTTAAATATATTTTAAATATAAAAAACAAATTAATCTTTGATGATTAATTAATTTTTTTAAAATATAAAAACATTTATTTTAAATATAAAAGATAAATTAACAATTAATTTTTTTAAATAAATTTTAATTCTAATTTTAATTATCCATTTTAATTCTAAATAAATTTTAATTCTAATTTTAATAACGATATTTAATTTTTCTAAAAAAGTCGGAATTTAATTATCCATATTCGCTCGTTTTTAAATTAATTTGATGACGCACTCCTATTACTTATTTTGTCCAAAAATATTATCATTTTTATAATTTGTCCAATATTTAACCTGCTGCTTATGCATGTTTAGTTGTTTACAAATTTCACGTTGCCAAGTTGCTGAACTCTAATGGAATTTCGCAGAACTATAGCATTCCATGGAATGCATCAAACAATTTGACTTATTCAATAATAGAATTAGCCAAACTGTTTGGTGTATTCAGAATTAGCCAAACTGTTTGGTGTATTCAATAGAATTAACCAAATTGCTTAGCATATTCAATGAAATGTGCCAAACAGTTTGACTATTTTGCTTTTTTTAAAACTTTTAGTAAAATTCTGGTCCTTCAACTAATTTAAGTTTTGCTTGTGCTTCTTAAAATTTCTTCAATAAAAATTCTAGCATCCTCGGGTTATAAGTTACCGTCCATTCTTCCAGTAATATTTCAATATTAAAATGTTGTTTGTTTTTTGCTTTTAAACTTGAAGTGGTGTCTGCTATTTTAAATCACCTTTAAAAAAAAAGGAACTACTAAGATTGTCCTAGAAATAAAAAAAAGAGTAAGCTACTTAATATGTTAATGTTGTCTCTATGTCAATGTCCTTTTTTTATGACCTGGCTTTGAGATCGAAGTTTGTCACAACTCACGAGCCATGATTTACATGTAGTTTTTTGCTCATTTCCATTTTTATCATATTGAAATTTGATTGAAGTCATACTTTGGTATGAAGATCTAACATTCAGCGCAGCAGCTTGTTAAAGACACTGAGACATACATCATCATCAACAAACATTTAAATTATAAAGTATATTGTCACATATGACATAAGCATGAAAATTTCACTTTATATTTAAAACATCAGATGTAAACTTTTCTATGTAATGGCAACATCTTCTAATGGTTCCTTGTCCCCGAAGAGTCTTTAAAAAAATAAGATGAATTTTAATGAGTTTCAAACTCTAGAATAATCCCTGCAGGACAATTGTTTGCTACCTCTCATATTTTTTTCTTTCATTATTAGATATACACACGTTCTTGTGGACATGCAACCTGAATCGGTGTTCTTAACTCGGTATATTTTTATTTAAAAACATTTATATAGCGCAATTAG